TTCTTTGAAAATATGTATAATAATTTATCAACTCTACAAGCAATACAATACTCTATTATTATAGTGGGAGATTATAGTACGGTTTTGAATAGCTCTATGGACCGTAAAGGAAGTCACAGTACAAAATATTACCTTCACGAATGTCATGGCTATATTAGAACTAGTGGATATATGGATCCTTAAAAATCCTGACCTAGTGAAATATACATGGCGGAGGCTCAATCAAGCTAGTCGTCTTGATTACTTTCATATGTCATTCTCTCTGGCACCAAAAGTTTAAAAAGTGTTCATAGGGGACAGAAATGTTTATTTTACCATTATTTAACTAGGCAAGTCAGTTAAGAACAAATTCTCATTTACAATGACGGCCTACACCAGCCAAACCCGGACGACGCTAGGCCAATTGTGCGCCGCCCTATGGGACTCCCAATCACGGCCGGTTGTGATACAGCTTGGAATCGAACCAGGGAGTCTATAGTCACGCCTCAAGCACTGAGATGCAGTGTCTGCACCACTCTGGAGCCCAATGCAGTCAGACCATCACATAATTGGCATATAATTTATATTGCTCTTACAGAATTTCCACGTGGGCGAAGACATTGGATGATAACTTGTTTTTAACTAGGACAGAATAATTTTTAACTGACTTTTTCCAACATAACATACACTACCAGTCAAAAGTTTGGACACACCTACTCATTCAAGGGTTTTTCTTTATTTGTAAAAAATGTTACACTGTAGAATAATAGTGAAGACATCAAAACTATTAAATAACACACATGGAATCATGTAGTAACCAAAAAAGTTTTACACAAATCGAAATATATTTTATATTTGAGATTCTTCAAATAGCCACCCTTTACCTTGTTGACAGCCTTGCACACTCTTGGCATTCTCTCAACCAGCTTCATGAGGTAGTCACCTGGAATACATTTCAATTTACAGGTGTGCCTTCTTAAAAGTTAATTTGTGGAATTTATTTCCTTCCTTGAGCCAATCAGTTGTGTTGTGACAAGGTAGGTACAGAAGATTTCCCTATTTGGAAAAAGACCAAGTCCATATTATGGCAAGAACAGCTCAAATAAGCAAAGAGAAACAACAGTCTATCATTACTTTAAGACATGAAGGTCAGTCAATACGGAACATTTGAAGAACTTTGAAAGTTTCTTCAAGTGCAGTCGCAAAAACTATCAAGCGCTATAATGAAACTGGCTCTCATTAAACCGCCACAGGAAAGGAAGACCCAGAGTTACCTCTGCTGCAGAAAATAAGTTCATTAGAGTTACCAGCCTCAGAAATTGCAGCCCAAATAAATGCTTCACAGAGTTCAAGTAACAGATACAGAAGTTCCTCCTCTGTAATTTGGCCTTCACATTAGTCTTTCTGTACAGCTGTTAATTTCATATTATTAATAGAAAGGAAATCCATACAATTAGCTTCGGTTAGGGGAGATGGAAGAGACTGAAACGAAACATATGCTTTAAGTACGTTACTTCCGCTTTCAAAATATAGTTTGGTGAATCATGTGTGACCCCGTCATTTGTAACAAGTTTCAGTAAATTATTTTTGGTAGCATTTCTATGTTGAATATTAATATTATTTTCCCCATATTTTTTTAAAATTACTTTTAGCAAGCTGGACAAACTGAAGAGACTATAAATGTTGGCAATGATCATTTCAACACAGTTTCAATTTGGTTTTAGTCATTTCAATGTCGTTTGAGATTGTTTATTTTTCTTCAGAAGATACAAATAAATACATCCGTGTCGGACTGAATGGGCTCGCGGTCCGGATCCGGCCGTGGTGTATCCAATCGATACTAGCCTAAACTAGACCTAGGAAAAATAAGATTACAGTAGATGTATTTCAATACATTTTTCCTAAAAGATGACTGTGTATTATATTATGGAGAGTTGATATTGATGGTAATGTAGTTGTGACCTAAAAGGGTGATGTTGATGTCACCAGGAATTATGATGTTCACACTGTACTGTATATCTGCATTGTGCTCCTCAAACAAATTCTGATGTAGAGTTCATACTAATTCTTATTTACATATGATTTGTTTTTCCTCTACCTCAACAGGCACGATTATTGTCACTATAAATGACAGTTAGGATATCTCCTTAGTAGGGTTGCAATATTATGGAACGTTCAATAAATTACGTGGTTATACTGAAATCCTGGTTGGAGGATCCCCGGAACAGCAAGGAATAAGCAGGAAACCTGAAAACCTCAAACCAGGATTTCTGTGAAAACAGGGAATTTATTGAACGTTTTGCAACATTTACATTTACATTTTTAGTCATTTAGCAGACGCTCTTATCCAGAGCGACTTACATGAGCAATTAGGGTTAACTTTTAAGAAGGCACACCTGTTAATTGAAATGCATTCCAGGTAACTACCTCATGAAGCTGGTTGAGAGAATGCCAAGAGTGTGCAAAAGTGTCATCAAGGCAAATGGTGGCAATTTGATGAATCTCAAATATAAAATATATATTTTGACTTGTTTAACACTTTCTTGGTTACTACAAGATTCCAAGTGTGTTATTTCATAGTTTTGATGTCTTCACTGTTATTCTACAATGTAGAAAATAGTAAAAATAAAGAAAAACCCTTGAATGAGTAGGTGTTTTAAATCTTTTGACCGGTAGTGTATTATGCTGTGGAGTTTCTTCTATGATTGAGAATTGCATAAGAAGATTGCCGTCACTCTCCAGATGTTCAAAAATATACATTCGTGGTCAAAAATGTTTTGAGAATGACACAAGTATTGGTCTCCACAAAGTTTGCTGCTTCAGTGTTCTTAGATCTTTATGTCAGTAGTTACTATGGTACACTGAAGTATAATGACAAGCATTCCATAAGTGTCAAAGGCTTTCATTGACAATGACATTGAGTTTTTGCAAAGAGTCAATATTTGCAGTGTTGACTCTTCTTTTTCAAGACCTCTGCAATCCACCCTGGCATGCTGTCAATTAACTTATGGGCCACATCCTGACTGATGGCAGCCCATTCTTGCATAATCAATGCTTGGAGTTTGTCAGAAGTTGTGGGTTTTTGTTTGTCCACCCGCCTCTTGAGGATCGACCACAAGTTCTCAATGGGATGACTTCTTTCTTTCATAAAGTACAATAGAAAACTGGTGAAGACCCGATGAAACTGGAACAACATGGATCATCTCCTATGCGTATAGCAAATGACACTATGTACCATTGTTTATGTGGTTTACAGAGTTATTTTTATTTTTTTAAGTCTCTTTGCCACAGGGGGATCTCACCACATCCTCTGTCATTCCAACCACCATTGACATAACTACCCCAACTACTGATGACCGTATAACCCCAATTTCTTACACTCCAACCACCGACACTCAAACTGACAGTCCAACTACCGACACTCCAACTACTGACACTCCAACTACTGACCCTCCAATTGCTGACACTCCAGCTACCGAAACTACAACTACCAACTTTCCAACTACCGACTTTCCAACTACCGGCTTTCCAACAACTGATACTCCAACAACTGACACTCCGACAACTGACACTCCAACAACTGACACTCCAACAACTGGCACTCCAGCAGCTGACTCTCCAACTATAGACACTCCAGCAACCGACACTCCAGCAAACAACTATCCAACTACCAACTTTCCAGCAACTGACTTTCCAACTACCAACTTTCCAACTACAGACTATCCAACTACTGACTTTCCAACCACCGACTTTCCAACTTCTGACTCTCCAACTACCAACTTTCCAACTTCCGACATTCCAACTACCGACTATCCAACTACTGACTTTCCAGCCACCGACTTTCCAACAACTGACACTCCAACAACTGACACTCCAACAACTGACACCCCAACAACTGACACTCCAACTAAAGACACTCCAGCAACCGACACTCCTGCAACCGACTTTCCAACTACCGACTTTCCAACTACCGACTTTCCAACTACCGACACTCCAACAACTAACACTCCAAGAACTAACACTCCAACTATAGACACTCCAACAACAGAAACTCCAGCAACCAAATTTCTATCTACCGACTATCCAACTGCCGACTTTCCAACTACCGACTGTCAAACTACCAACGTTCCAATTACCGACATTCCAACTTCTGACATTCCAATTACCGAATTTCCAGCTATCGACTTTCCAAATACCGACTTTCCAACTTCCGACCCTCCAACTACCGACTTTCCAACTACCGACTTTCCACCTTCCGACATTCCAACAACTGACTTTCCAACTACCTACTGTCCAACTAAAGACTGTCCAATTACCGAATTTAAAACTACCGACTTTCCAACTTACGACATTCCAACGTCCGACATTCCCAACGTCCGACTTTCCAACTTCTGACTGTCCATCTGCCGACTGTCCATCTGCCGACTGTGCAACTACCGACTTTCCAACTACCGACTTTCCAACTTCCGACATTCCAACTACCGAATTTCCAACAATCGACTGTCCATCTACCGACTGTCCAACTACCGACTTTCCAACTACCGACTTTCCAACTTCCAACTTTCCAACAATCGACTGTCCGTCTACCGACTGTCCAACTACTGACTTTCCAACTACCGAAATTCCAACTTCCGACATTACAACTGCTGAATTTCCAACTACCAACTTTCCAACTTCAGACTTTCCAACTACCGACTTTCCAACTTCCGACACTCCAACTACCGACTTTCCAACTACCGACTTTCCAACTACCGACACTCCAACTTCCGACTTTCCAACTACCAACATTCCAACTACCAACACTCCAACTACCGGCATTCCAACTACCGATACTCCAACAACCGGCACACCAACAACCGACACGCCAACAACCGACACTCCAACTACCGACACTCCAACTACTGAACATCCTCCACTTACAAGCAAAACCGGTACCACTCTCCCCACAACCTCCACCATCACCTCTACCACCCCCTCTACCATCACCTCTACCACCACAATCACTCCTCTGGTCTGTATCAATGGTGGTGAGCTGCAGAGTGGAGTCTGTATCTGTCCTGATGAGTGGACTGGAGAGACCTGTTCAGAGGGTACGTCCACACAATTACAGTATACATAACCCTCGATCTCACATTCAGACACCACTCCACAATTCCACACTACTATACCTAACCCTGGATCTCACATTCAGACTAAACAACTACACTACTATACCTAACCCTGGATCTCACATTCACAGCACACACTACTTCACTACTCCTAACCCTGGATCTCACGTTCACAGTCCACAACACTATTCCCTGGATCTCACATTCAGAATATATATTTCATGTCTGCAGTCATACATTTGGTCCATGTTGAAATGCATTTTACTTCGATAGGGAATTTCTGCAATTCATCCATCAATTATGAATTCTCCTTCCCAAGAACAACGGTTGGCTGGTCTGCTTATTCAGAACAATTGTGTGGTAAGGATACAACCAGTGGTATGTTACTTTTATTCACCTAAAATGACAAAAATGTTACAGTCCTAATTAATGTTGTATTAGGTAAAACAAAATCTTGAGTATCTATTTGTCTTTGTTCCTCCAGCCGGTTTACCAGAAGCCTCAGCAAGATGTTTGAATGACACTGGCTCTCCGACGTTTGGTCCTCCTCACAATCTGCAGTGTGAATTAACCCTCAGTGGCATTAAAGAAGTCGTATGTCAATAGGCATATGTTTTATGAACCTGATTTATGACCAGTCTCGATTTATGACCAGTCTTAGGGTCATTTACCTCAACCAACTCAACTACCTCGTATCAAAATACATTGACTCGGTACCGGTACTCCTTGTATATAGCTTCATTATTTTTATTTTATTGTTACTATTTCCTTGGGTGCTAATTTTCATAATTTTTAACTCTGCATTGTTGGGAAAGGGCTCGTAAGTATGCATTTCACTGTAAAGTCTACACCTGTTGTATTCTGCTTAACAGTTAATGAGGATTTTATTTTTATTGTGTGTAACCTTACATTTAGTCGTTTAGCAGACGCTCTTATCCAGAGCAACTTACAGTAGTAAGTGCATACATTTTCCTACTCTTTCTTACTGGTCCCCCGTGGGAATCAAACCTACAACCCTGGTGTTGCAAGCGCCTTGCTCTAACAACTGAGCCACATAATTAGTATTGGCAATTTTAATATCCCAATGTACTCACAGTTCAGCATGTTGCTGCCACTTATACAACGTTCTGTTTAAAAACAATACAATACTAAAATAAATAAAAATCATTCTCTCTCCGTATTCAGATATCCAGCAGTTCAGGTGATTTAGCACAGCTAGCCTTCAGTACTCAGATCCTGACCTCCCAACCAGAGCTGCTATCAGCTGACAACATCACCACAGCAGCTCAGATAGCTAACACGCTGCTTCAGTCTGTAAATATCACAGAGGTATAACATGTTTTCAAATCAAGTTGTGACTACGACATGTTCTGGAGATAAACGTGAGGTTGTTATTACAGTGATTTGAACACTTGAGGGTCATTCCCTGGTTTTGATCATGTTGCAGGACATCGCAGTGGCAGCTGTAACTACCATCAGTCAGCTACTGAATGCCAGGAAGGAGAGTGCAAAGGAGAGAGACGCTGTCCAGAGGTGTGTGTGTGTTTCTGCATATGTTTGAGTTTATGTGTGTACGTGTGTGTCTGTGCGTGTCTGCATGGGTGCATGTAAACTAATGTTTTTCTGTGTTTCTCTCCCAGCCTCACAGAGACCCTGGAGGAGTTTTCCCTGGACCAGCACAGTAACGTGTCCTTGGTGGTTCAGCCCAACCTGGTAGTCCAGTCTGTCCAAGTACCAAGTGACACAGTAGGGATCCAGTTTACTGCTCTGACTGGTGGGTGGGACTGCTAGTGAACCTACAGTGTGTTTTTTAAAGTGATAGTTTATATCTGTGTTGACAGACTGGTTCAACTAGTTGTAGAAGTAACAATATATTGTGATGTTTTAAATTGCTAAATCAAATTAATCTCGTTCTCCAGGAAGATCTGGTAATTTTGTGGCCAACAGAATTCATCTCAACACCAATACCTCTGAACTGATAGCTGACAACGGCGGTTCTACCGATGTCCAGATTGCTATCAAATTCTCACCAGGTGAGCCAATGTTGGTATACCAACATGGTGTATGAACTCAAGCTATAATTTTCTCTTACCGATAACACAGAGAGCACTTAACTGCTGTTTGTGGTCTCCGAAATCAGGTCAGCAATGCCAAATGTTTAGATCACCAATCTCTCTCTCTCTCTCTCTCTCTCTCTCTCTCTCTCTCTCTCTCTCTCTCTCTCTCTCTCTCTCTCTCTCTCTCTCTCTCTCTCTATCTCTCTCTCTCTCTCTCTCTCTCTCTCTCTCTCTTTCTCCCTCACTCCACTCAGATTTACGTAATAAAAACACAAACTACTCCATTGGTTTTGTGCTCTACCAAAACGACTGGTTCTTCAGGTCCAGGGCATTCACAGCTTCTTCAGGAACCAGCAGAAGGGTAATCTCTGCTAACCTGGGACAAGTGTCTGGGTTACATGTTGAGATGCTCTTCAAGCCTACAGTAAGATTTATCTTGGACTCAGTAAACACATAGTGGTCCAAATTCTCTGGGAAATGTAATGGGAAGTTTTCCATGATCTAAGTCACGTGTCAAACTCATTCCACGGAGGGTCGAGTGGCTGTGGGTTCTTTCTCCTCTCTTGTCAGGAACTCCCCTCATCTGATTGTCTAGGTCTTCAATTGAAAGGAAAAACCAAAAACCAGCAGACACTAGAATGAGTTTGACACCCCTGATCTAAGTTATCCATTTTACAGAGAGTTTATTTCTGTTCTCACTTCTCAGGCTGTCTCCAAGGCCTCCCTCTATGACTTTGCCTGCGTGTGGTGGAACTACACTTTGAAAGACTGGAGCACCTCTGGCTGCTCCAAAGTCAACCACTCAGAAGACGGCCTGCGATGTTTCTGTAATCACACCACTAACTTCGCTGTGCTTATGGTGAGTAGCTAGCTGCCTTCATCTCCCTTTAACTGACCACACTTTGACCTATGGAAGGGGTTCCCAAACTTTTTTGGCCCACGTCACCATCTGAAAACTCTCATGACCCCAAACATGTGAATTAGCTTTTTTGTAATTAAGAGCCTATGTTTACTTTTTTATTATGACAGTTAATTGCAAAACATTCTAACAGTATTTCTGATTGTATTCTCAACTCATCATCACATACTTTTAATGTGGGGCTATGACAGTCAATAGCAAAGTGGTCTGACATAATATCTCTTATCTCACCACCTCTAATGAGATGATGAGATCAGAGACATGATGCATGTCACGTCAGAGCTTCTCAAAATCAGGGGGTGTGGTTGACAGTGCCCACGTTATCTCTGCTGTCACTTCCAACCTGGATCGATATTTGGTTTTAATGCAGACAAGTGCACTAAATCCAGCCTCACACAGATATTAGCGGGCAAAGGGTACCATGAGTTTTAATGCTCGGAGGTAGACGGCAGGGTATTCCCTTTGAGTGAGGAACCAAAATGCGTTATCTGCAGCATTCGGTCATATGACGGCTCGATCAGCTTTCGATTTCACTTACAGGCATGTCAACTGAGGCAGGATCACAGTCAAACAGATTTCTCTCCAATAAGAAGTCTTTCCTCTGAATCCACTGATTCGGTCACTCACCTGTAGAATGTTTTTGTATTTCCCCACGCATGCTTGCGTTCAGTTCGTTCAGTTTCCCAAATATGTCAGTTACAAAGGGAAGGAGACACATTTTCTTTTCATTACACAGAAAGTCAAGTCTTTTTTTTTTTTTTTTACCATTCGTTACCATGGAATCTGTTTTTCTTCAGTATAGCCATGCAGCGCATCCTCTGTACAGTTTCATGCTTGAGAATCGTGAGACAGAACAATACGTCCTCGTGAATACCATCCCCCGACAGGTAGCGAATGAAAGTATATGCATGGGCATCTCGGCCCTCACAACTAACGTCCATTTGGAAAGCAAAAGCTGGGGAGTATTTGAGTGGTTCAGAAGGTTTCATTTGGATTGCTAGCTATAGCATAAATTCTTCATTTTACAGTGTTATCTGACAAAGGTATTGATTAGTGTTTCTGTGCCTTGGCCTCCCCACACCTTGTTTTCACCATACCGATTGTGGCGGTAATATTTCTGAAATAGTGTGTGGTTTCATTCTGTAGTGGGCCTAGCCATTCACCTGGGAATAGGGTGACCACATGTCCCAGATTGTGCAGGACAGTCCCGCATTTTGGTCCTTTGTCCCGCAACCAAACAATCATGTCCCGCATTTTATCAACAAATTCAAACGCCACCAATTTAGAAAAAACTATGATTTGTCCAGTATTTCAGTCAGACATTCCAACTTGTTTCTTGCAGTCACGTTGCCCTTATGAAAAAGTATCATAAGGATGTGGTAGCCATGGTGATGTTAAACAGTTCTCCAATCGTTGTTGAGATGTGATATTCTTTGCAGCAGAAGAGGAGACATAGGCCAATGTCATAGGCCTATCGTCAACAAATATTTCTCAAATCCTTTCAGGCTAAATTCCTGCTAAACTTGGAGAGGACAGTTAATTTCCACCTTGTTACGCACAGATTGTATAAAACATCTAATTGATTGGCTGCAAGTTCAACAATATCTCATAGTTAGGTCTCCTAACTACTTACAAAAAGCTAGAAAAGTAGGTAAATAGCCACATTAGACTGAAAGATATAATCATAGCAGTGGGAAGTAGAGTGCTGCAGCACCTCCTGAAAAATCACAATGACAAAATAATAATAATACATATTTTCAGTAAAGTAGTGCATTGGGCCTTTACTAGTCCTGTATTAGCAGACCGATATAACCGTTTTATAGTGCGGGCAAAAAAATAAAACATGAAGAATTATCATTCACAATTGACAGCGATGATACATTGGCCTATTTTGGAATTAGGTATCGGGTAGGCTACACTGTCAGCGTTTGTGTATTTTAAATGTGGTCATCTTAAGTGGGAATGATTCAAGTGCAATGGTCAAGTATGGCCTTTTCCCACGATCTAAGGGCGCTCTCTGGTTGAATTTTATGTTTTAGGTTTGAATAATTTTAATTTAGATTTTTAAGGTTAACCACATTACAATGATTTTGAGATACAAAGACAATATTATAATATTTTATACAAATTATTGTATAAAGCGATCCCATTTTCATATCAGGCGAAACCACATCAGGTCGCGACCCCTAGTGTGGGAACCGCTGACCTATAGTTTACCGCAGCATATCCAGACACATGAGGGAGATGACTTTATACAGTATGACTGTGACAAACTTAGTGTTTCATTTTTCATTTTTCTTTTCTTTCTACAGTCATTCAGGATGGATTTTAAATACGCTGAAGTGCTAAACTGGATCACCATATTGGGATGCTCCATGTCCATCATAGGGTTGAGTTTAACAATAACATTCCAGATCGCAACCAGGTAAGATCCTACAGGGTTCCAGAACCAATTCAACATATACAATAACATTCCAGATGGTGTCCCGGTAAGATCCTACAGGGTTACAGAACCAATTCTAAATATACAATAACATTCCAGATCGCAACCAAGTAAGATCCTACAGGGTTCCAGAACCAATTCTAAATATACAATAACATTCCATATGGTGACCCGGTAAGATCCTACATGGTTCCAGAACCAATTCTAAATATACAATAACATTCCAGATCGTGACCCGGTAAGATCCTACAGTATTCCAGAACCAATTCAACATATACAATAATATTCCAGATGGTGACCCGGTAAGATCCTAAAGGGTTCCAGAACCAATTCTAAATATACAATAACATTCCAGATCGCAACCAAGTAAGATCCTACAGGGTTCCAGAACCAATTCTAAATATACAATAACATTCCAGATCGCAACCAAGTAAGATCCTACAGGGTTCCAGAACCAATTCTAAATATACAATAACATTCCATATGGTGACCCGGTAAGATCCTACATGGTTCCAGAACCAATTCTAAATATACAATAACATTCCAGATCGTGACCCGGTAAGATCCTACAGTATTCCAGAACCAATTCAACATATACAATAATATTCCAGATGGTGACCCGGTAAGATCCTAAAGGGTTCCAGAACCAATTCTAAATATACAATAACATTCCAGATCGCAACCAAGTAAGATCCTACAGGGTTCCAGAACCAATTCTAAATATACAATAACATTCCATATGGTGACCCGGTAAGATCCTACATGGTTCCAGAACCAATTCTAAATATACAATAACATTCCAGATCGTGACCCAGTAAGATCCTACAGTATTCCAGAACCAATTCAACATATACAATAATATTCCATATGGTGACCTGGTAAGATCCTACATGGTTCCAGAACCAGTTCAAAATATTGGGTGCATCTCAATAGTGTAAAGAAGCCCTTTGATCCAACACGACTTGATAGGTGAAATCAATATGAAACCCACTATTAATGAACCAACACATCCATAGCTACGCATCTAACTTCCCTAACATAGTGTTGTCTATCACCTATCCCCAGAAAATCACGCAAAACCAACCCAACGGTCCTCTTAGTGAGCGTCTGCGTGTGTCTCCTGATCTTCACCCTCCTCTGTCATGAACCCTGCGTCCTGAGTCTGTTCCTGCCTGTGTTGCCGTTTTTTCTGCTCTGAATCTCCTGTTTCCCGAAGGTGCCTGAACGCACCCTGTCCGGTTGCCGGGCGACATTGCTAGGCGGGTGATCTCTCGATTACCCGCACCTGCTTCTCATCAGCTTCGGCACACCTGGTCCTGATCATCACCCCTTCATAAGCTCTGACCTGACATCCATTCCCTGCCGGATCGTTAGCCATAAACAGTATGTTTTGCCAGCGTATCAGCCTCTGAGTACTAGCGTTAGTTTTGTTGTTTTTTGCACCTTGTTGACCTGCCTTGTACTAACCTCCGTTTTTTCTGTCTACAGTCATTCTCCCGGAACCTTCACCCAACCCCTGCCGTGCCATCAGTTCATCTGCCACTTCACCACCACCTACTCATATCCGCCACCCGCTCCGTCTCCTGGACTATTCTGCATCTTTTTATCTGTAAATAAACACTCACATTCGTTCAACTCACCTTGTCCTGGTCTGCTTCTGGGTTCGGTCTTAGAGAACCGTGACAGAACGATCCGGCCATAAATGAACCCAGCGGACCTGGACTCTGTTCGCCATGCCATTACCCTTCAGGAGATGATGTTGGGACAACACAGCACGGCGCTACAGGAGATAGCGTTATCGGTTCGGAACTTTTCTACCAGTCTGACGAAGATCCAGGCTCAGCTCAGTTTGCCGGTGGAGAATCCACCACCGGTTTTCACCTCTCTCGCCTGCCGCTTCTGGAGCTGTGCCCTTCCGTGAGCCCAAGGTTCCGACGCCTGAGAAGTATGAAGGGGATTTGGGAAGATGCCGTTCCTTTCTTATGCAGTGTGGATTAGTGTTCGATCTACAGCCCCACTCTTACGCCACAGACAAGGCTAGGATAGCCTTTGTTATTCAATTGCTGCGTGGTAGAGCCCTGGAGTGGGCTTCAGCCGTATGGGAACGACAGGACACCTGCATGGCGTCATACCAGCAGTTCACGGCAGAGATGAGGAAGCTGTTTGACCATCCAGTCCGAGGTAAGGACGCAGCTAAGCGCCTGTTTTCTCTTCGCCAAGGAACTCGCAGCGTTGCCGACTTCGTAATCGAATTCAGGACATTGGCTGTGGAGAGTGGGTGGAATGAGGAGTCACTGCAAGCAGCCTTTTACCAGGGGCTGTCGGAGCAACTCAAGGATGAGTTGATCTCCTATCCGGAGCCTAGTGACCTGGACAGTTTGGTAGCTTTGTCTATTCGGGTGGATAACAGAGTTCGAGAGAGAAGGAGGGAGAAGCAATGGGGCCCGTCCAATCAATCAGCTTCTCAGTTTCCAGTCGGGTCAGGAGGTGGACCAGAATGCGTCGATCATTGTCCACCACACGGGATTAGTGGAGAGGTCCTGCCTCCAGATTCTGAACCCATGCAAGTGGGGCGGCACGGGTTAACCAAGGAGGAGTGCCAACATAGACGTAAGACCAACCGCTGCCTCTACTGTGGCAGTTCGGGACATTACATCTCCACTTGTTCCCAGCGGCCGTCAAACTGCTCGGCTCGCTAAAGTTGGGAAGACTTTTAGCGAGCCAGTTTCAACCTCTCAATTCCCCTGTCAGACCCCGTTTCCCGGCTACCCTCATGAACAGGAATCAGAGTTTAGCGATTAACGCTTTTGTCGATTCAGGTGCTGATGGAAGCTTTATTGATGCCGACGTGGTGGAACAGCTGGGGCTTTCCAAGGAGCGATTACCGGAAGCCATTGAAGCTACCACTCTGAACGGCAGTAGTCTGGCACGTATCACGATGAGGACTGAACCGGTTAAGATGCTGTTGTCAGGGAATCATTCTGAGGTTATCTCATTCTTCATTCTGCCTTCTTCCCATGTTCCTCTGGTCCTTGGATACCCCTGGCTGAAAGAACACAATCCCACGTTCGATTGGGTGACTGGCAAGGTAACTAGTTGGAGCATTGATTGTCATGCTAACTGCCTCAAGACTGCCTGTTCCCATTCTGTTCCCAGTCAGGTGATTGAGGCTAACCCCCCAGATTTGTCCCTGGTTCCCGAGACATATCACGATTTGGGGGAAGTGTTCAGTAAGCAGAGGGCTCTGTCACTCCCTCCCCACCGACCATATGATTGTGCCATAAACCTGTTCCCTGGAGCTGCCTATCCCAAGGGATGGTTATACAGCATCTCCCGACCTGAACGTGAGGCTTTGGAGACCTACATAAAGGAGTCCCTAGCTGCTGGTCTCATTCGTCCCTCGTCATCACCCCTGGGGGCAGGATTCTTCTTTGTGAGTAAAAAGGATGGCTCTCTTCGACCTTGTATTGATTATCGGGGGTTGAATGATATCACGGTCAAGAACAAGTATCCCCTGCCCTTGATGAGCTCTGCTTTCGACTCCTTACAGGGTGCTACTGTGTTCACCAAGCTGGACCTACGCAATGCGTATCATCTGGTCCGGATCAGAGAGGGGGACGAGTGGCTGACTGGTTTCAATACACTGATGGGTCATTTCGAGTATCAGGTGATGCCGTTTGGACTGACCAATGCCCCAGCAGTGTTCCAGAGTATGGTGAATGACGTCCTGAGAGATATGATCGGTCTTTTTGTGTTCGTTTACCTGGATGACATTCTTATCTTCTCGAAGGATCCTTCCAGCCACGTCCAGCATGTCAAGCAGGTTCTGCAGCGATTGCTGGAGAATCGCCTGTTTGTGAAGGCCGAGAAGTGTACATTTCATGCCCACACTACATCCTTCCTCGGGTACATCATCTCCAGGGGAGAGATTAAGATGGACCAAGAGAAGGTTAGGGCGGTTCTGGATTGGGCCCAGCCCGGTACGAGATTGCAGCTCCAGAGGTTTCTGGGGTTTGCGAATTTCTATCGGAGATTTATCCGTGATTACAGCCGTGTGGCCGCTCCTTTAACTGCCCTGACTTCTAGTACCAGAACCTTCAGTTGGAATCTTGAGGCGGACCGAGCATTTCTGGATTTGAAGAGGCGATTCACCAACGCTCCGATTCTCTCTCAACCTGACACTGCCCGTCAGTTTGTCATTGAAGTGGATGCGTCTGATGTGGGGGTTGGCGCCATCCTGTCCCAGCGATGCTCCACTGACGGTAAACTCCATCCCTGCGCCTACTACTCTCGTCGTCTTTTGTCTACGGAGAGGAACTACGATGTGGGTAACCGGGAGCTTCTCGCGGTGAAACTTGCCTTGGAGGAGTGGCGCCACTGGTTGGAGGGGGCGGAGCAACCGTTTGATGTCTGGACTGACCACAAGAATCTTGCTTACGTGCAATCGGCTAAACGTCTCAACTCCCGTCAGGCCAGGTGGTCGTTGTTTTTTGGACGCTTTAATTTTTCCTTGACGTTCCGACCAGGGTCTAAGAACGGCAAGGCGGACGCCTTGTCCCGGATGTTCTCCAAGAGGGAGGAGAGTGGGGCCAAGACTGAGATGATTCTTCCCCGGAACCTTGTCGTGGGAGCCGTTATGTGGAGGATTGAGGAGGAGGTTATGGCGGCCCTTCGGACGCAGCCCGGCCCCGGTAACGGTCCACCCGGTCGGGTTGTTTGTGCCTGAGTCAGTTCGTTCGGCTGTCCTCCAATGGTCCCACGCCAGCAAGATGGCTTGTCACCCTGGCGTGGCTCGGACGATGGCGCTTCTACGCAGACGATTTTGGTGGCCTGCCATGGGAGAAGATACTCAGAGGTTTGTTGCTGCCTGTCCAGTTTGTGCGCAGAACAAGAGTGCCAATCGGCCCAGCTCTGGACTTCTTCACCCCCTACCGATCCCCCGGCGACCATGGTCGCATCTGGCCCTGGACTTTGTCACTGGGTTGCCCTCTTCTGAGGGGAACACGGTCATTCTGACTATTGTGGACCGATTCAGCAAGTTCGCCCACTTTGTGCCCATCTCCAAGCTTCCCTCTGCCTCTGAGACGTCCAAGATCCTGGTTAGGGAGGTTTTCAGGGTCCATGGATTGCCCAGTGACATAGTTTCCGACCGTGGCCCTCAGTTCACCTCTGCTGTCTGGAAATCCTTCTGTTTGGCCATTGGAGCTACAGTCAGTCTCACATCTGGATTTCACCCCCAATCTAATGGACAGGCGGAGAGAGCCAACCAGAAGATGGAATCCACGCTGCGCTGCCTTGTTTCCTCCAACCCCACCTCTTGGGCCTCTCAGTTGCCTTGGGTTGAGAATGCTCACAATACTCTCCCTACTTCTGCCACTGGGATGTCTCCCTTCCAGTGCCTATACGGCTACCAACCCCCCTTGTTTCCTTCTCAGGAGAAAGATCTCTCGGTTCCCTCTGTCCAGGCCCACATTCGTCGTTGCCACCGGACCTGGCATTGGGCCAGAAAGGCCCTCCTTAGAGTTTCTGACCGGTATCAGCTCCAGGCGAATCGTCGCCGTATTCCAGCCCCCGCTTATGCAATCGGAGATAGGGTCTGGTTGGCTACACGGGACCTTCCTCTGCGGACTGAGTCAAGGAAACTGTCGCTGAGGTTCATTGGTCCGTTTGTGGTGGAGAGAGTGATTAATCCTGTTGTGGTTCGACTCAAGTTGCCTAGTACGCTCAGAGTCCATCCCACCTTCCATGTCTCCTGCCTCAAGCCTGTTCTCCTCAGCCCTCTGTTGCCCCCTCCACCTCCTCCTCCTCCTCCTCGGATGATCGGAGGAGGTCCTGTCTACACGGTGCACCGCATCATGGATTCCAGACGGCGGGGCCGGGGTTCCAGTATCTCGTGGACTGGGAGGGGTATGGTCCTGAGGAGAGGAGTTGGATTCCTCGGCGTCAGATCCTTGATGCTGACCTCCTTCGTGACTTCTACCGCCTCCATCCTGGTGCTCCGGGTAGTCCGCCCAGTGGCGTTCGTCGGAGGGGGGGTACTGTCATGCACCCTGCATCCTGAGTCTGTTCCTGCCTGTGTTGCCGTTTTTCTGCTCTGAATCTACTGTTTCCTGAAGGTGCCTGAACGCACCATGTCCGGTTGCCGGGCGACGTTGCTAGGCGGGTGATCTCTCGATTACCCGCACCTGCTTCTCATCAGCTTCGGCACACCTGGTCCTGATCATCACCCCTTCATAAGCTCTGACCTGACATCCATTCCCTGCCGGATCGTTAGCCATAAACAGTATGTTTTGCCAGCGTATCAGCCTCTGAGTACTAGCGTTAGTTTTGTTGTTTTTTGCACCTTGTTGACCTGCCTTGTACTTACCTCAGTTTTTTCTGTCTACAGTCATTCTCCTGGAACCTTCACCCAACCCCTGCCGTGCCATCAGTTCATCTGCCACTTCACCACCACCTACTCATATCCGCCACCCGCTCCGTCTCCTGGACTATTCTGCATCTTTTTATCTGTAAATAAACACTCACATTTGTTCAACTCACCTTGTCCTGGTCTGCTTCTGGGTTCGGTCTTAGAGAACCGTGACATCCTCTTCATGTTGGGAGTGGACAACCCTCATAAACAGCTGGAGAAACCTGAAATACAGGAGGACAACATTCTCCCCTCGTCCGACACACACACAGAGCGGGACAGAGGCCCCTGTACTGCAGTCACAGTCCTGCTGCAGTACTTCCTGTTGGGGACGTTCACCTGGAACACGCTGTACGCCACACATGTCTTCCTGATGATCAGAAACAGCCTGGCCACCAGCCCGTCACACTTCACAGCCTGTACCGTGGCCATCGGATGGGGTAGGACAGCTTGGAGAAAAATAAAATATTTAGTTGTTTCAGAAGCTTTGGCTGGCATTAGCCCTGGGCTCCTTGAACCAAAACGAATGCTAGGTTATATTTTATTTAGCTTAAAATAGAACTTCAAAGCGACTTGTATAGTGATGTTATGCGTTTAGAGGATGTATGTGTAGTATATAATCTGTATATGTCTGCATGCTAATCTAGCAGGAAATAACAACAACATTCTCTGTCCTTTAGGACTGCCTGCGGTTGTGGTGGCCCTCACCTTAGGAATTAGTTACAGAGTGGATGATCCACTGGGTTACAGGCAGGAGGAATTGTGAGTCAATACTGTACTATACTACTACTGTATTACTTCTCTGTACTGTATTGTATTGTACTATACTATACTGTACTTGAGCGACCCGGCTCAACATACAGTGAGGGGAAAAAAGTATTTGATCCCCTGCTGATTTTGTATGTTTGCCCACTGACAAAGAAATGATCAGTCTATAATTTTAATTGTAGGTTTATTTGAACAGTGAGAGACAAAATAACAAAACAAAAATCCAGAAAAACGCATATCAAAAATGTTATAAATTGATTTTCATTTTAATGAGGGAAATAAGTATTTGACCCCCTCTCAATCAGAAAGATTTCTGGCTCCCAGGTGTCTTTTATACAGGTACCGAGCTAAGATTAGGAGCACACTCTTAAAGGGAGTGCTCCTAATTTCAGCTTGTTACCTGTATAAAAGACACCTGTCCACAGAAGCAATCAATCAATCAGATTCCAAACTCTCCACCATGGCCAAGACCAAGAGCTCTCCAAGGATGTCAGGGACAAGATTGTAGACCTACACAAGGCTGGAATGGGCTACAAGACTATCGCCAAGCAGCTTGGTGAGAAGGTGACACCAGTTGGTGCGATTATTCGCAAATGGAAGAAACACAAAAGAACTGTCAATCTCCCTCGGCCTGGGGCTCCATGCAAGATCTCACCTCGTGGAGTTGCAATGATCATGAGAACGGTGAGGAATCAGCCCAGAACTACACGGGAGGCAGCTGGGACCATAGTCACCAAGAAAACAATTGGTAACACACTACGCCGTGAAGGACTGAAATCCTGCAGCGCCCGCAAGGTCCCCCTGCTCAAGAAAGCACATATACAGGCCCGTCTGAAGTTTGCCAATGAACATCTGAATGAATCAGAGGAGAACTGGGTGAAAGTGTTGTGGTCAGATGAGACCAAAATCGAACTCTTTGGCATCAACTCAACTCGCCATGTTTGGAGGAGGATGAATACTGCCTATGATCCCAAGAACACCATCCCCACCGTCAAACATGGAGGTGGAAACATTATGCTTTGGGGGTGTTTTTCTGCTAAGGGGACAGGACAACTTCACCGCATCAAAGGGACGATGGACGGGGCCATGTACCGTCAAATCTTGGGTGAGAACCTCCTTCCCTCAGCAAGGGCATTGAAAATGGGTCGTGGATGGGTATTCGAGCATGACAATGACCCAAAACACACGGCCAAGGCAACAAAGGAGTGGCTCAAGAAGAAGCACATTAAGGTCCTGGAGTGGCCTAGCCAGTCTCCAGACCTTAATCCCATAGAAAATCTGTGGAGGGAGCTGAAGGTTCGAGTTGCCAAACGTCAGCCTCGAAACCTTAATGACTTGGAGAAGATCTGCAAAGAGGAGTGGGACAAAATCCCCCCTGAGATGTGTGCAAACCTGGTGGCCAACTACAAGAAACGTCTGACCTTGTGATTGCCAAAAAGGGTTTTGCCACCAAGTAGTAAGTCATGTTTTGCAGAGGGGTCAAATACTTATTTCCCGCATTAAAATGCAAATCAATTTATAACATTTTTGACATGTGTTTTTCTGGATTTCTTTGTTGTTATTCTGTCTCTCACTGTTCAAATAAACCTACCATTAAAATTATAGACTGATCATGTCTTTGTCAGTGGGCAAACATACAAAATCAGCAGGGGATCAAATACTTTTTTCCCTCACTGTATTTCCTGGTTTGTGACCCACTGATGCCACCCCCGGTGAGAGAGGAGTAAGGCAGTCCAAGAGTTAACACACACAGGAACTTTATTCACACACAGGAGAAGATGCACATGGGGATGATTTTTGTATTCACGCATCCCATGCACATGTGTCTACGCTCTGACACTGGAAAAAACACAGTTCAGGCCCGGCTAATACTGATACGCTAGAAAGTCCATGCAGCGGACCCGACTAGCCGACTGGGCTAGCTTGGAGATTCTGACCAATCACAGGGTGCATGGTCAGTGCATGGGCAGAGTGTGGGGTACATGGAAGTGATGGATATCGCTCACATGAACTGAACTGAACTCTATTGTATTATACTGTACTGTACTACCAATATACATGTGGCCCAATTGCTGTATAAAATGTTATAACTCATACTGTAAAAGGTTTTCCCTGTCAATGTTCGTATTACATCCTTTTAACGATGGCAACGAGCAATTTAAAAAGTTGTAAAAAACTAAAAGAATGATCCATGGTGTTGAAAGGTTTCTTGTTTACTTTTTACCACGTTATTCAAATCACTGGCATCCTGTTTTGTCTATCACAAAGTCCCACTCTCTAACTCATTCATTTGACCTCTCAGTTGCTGGCTTGCTGCCCTCGATCCAAAGGGGAACTTTGACTTCAACCTGCCAATGTTTTGGGGGTTCCTGATCCCTGTGGCGTAATTAACCAGGTAACATTAATGGGGGCATTTTGGGGGCACAAAGTAGAACGTTGTAGTCATTAAGATCAGTCTTGATTTAAATGCTAAATACTATAAATAAATGTTAAATACTAATGAGCTTGTTAATTTTGTATTGTCTTTCAATTAAAACTTTTTATATATAAAATGCATGCTTTTTTTATTATTAATTCAGTCATTAGTAACCAATTCATACTATTTAATAAGCACCATTCTCTAACCCACTCAGTGATTGGAAGCATACTGTTATATTACCACAGCATTACAGCAGTCTATGACCGCAGTCTAAGCATGTTGGTTATATTTCCCAGTACAAGACACACATTGATGAAGAAGAAGTTCCTCAGTAGCTTTTCTCTGGCTGTGGTGCTCGGTCTCTCCTGGATCCTGGGCTATATGTTGCTCATTACACAGAACCAGACCATGTACACCATACTCAACATCTCCTTCTGTGTACTCACCACCACTCAGGTAGTAAATGTATGCACTCACTACTGTAAGTCGCTCTGGATAAGAGAGTCTGCTAAATGACTCAAATGTTAAATATAAAGACTAGTGTACTATTGTACCACAGAATCCAGACATGATTGAAAACTAGACACCTACTAAACATTAATAAATTCTGCTGCTCTTTATAGAAACGCTACCTTTTGTTTGTACGTGTGTGTTCCTGAAAATACTTGATAACGTCTTTGTGTTTTTGTTTTCGCTCCACAGGGCTTGCAGGTTTTCATTCTGTTCACAGCAAGAACAGCAATTGTCAAGAAAAATATGTCAAGTGCTTTGAAATCTGTCTCTAGCGCTGGGATCCCTCTTCACACCAAGAAGTTCAGTCTATGGCGAGGCGAGCAAAGTGAAAAAGTAGAATCATACACACAGCAGGACACTGATCTGTCATTTCCACCTTGTTCCTCACAGACATCTAACTGATGGGCTGCAAGTTTAACCTCTGTTGGAAAATATCTCATATACCGCCACTATTTCCTATAATATACAGAATAATACACACCATTTTGTATCAATGTATTTTTACTGTAAATTCCCTCAGAAGTTGTGTTGTCCAAGGATTTTTGGGCTATGCACATAGTGTATATACATACTGTATGTGTTTTTTGAAATAGAACTGTTTTGAATAAAACTGTGATTATTCTCTTTGAATCGAATGTTTGTTTCAGTATTTTTTGTGAGAAATTACACTACTTTACACAATATCTCAGAAAATAGCTTTAGACAGTGTAGCCTAGGGATGTCAAACTACATAATTTCCCCTGCGGGCCACATTCGATCTTTACAGAGGCTGCACTTAAAATGTATGAACCTTTTACTGCAGTGGGCAAAATCAGGGTCACACAGAGTGATTCTTGGTTGGTAACAAATCTACCTTCAAACAAAAGTATACACCACACACACATGGTTATGGGCTTAACAAAAGAAGACACCTGTACAATGCCAGATATAGAGTTGAAATCTATGCCATTTTGAGTTTCCATCCTAATATTACACTTTCTATATATCACAGAAGACTGAAATATAACAAAACTGTTTGACATAGAAACACCAGATTTTCATCCTCATAAAATGAACAACGTATTAATTATGAAATGATTAATAACATTCCACCCATGAGGCCAAAGAGGGCACTTTTGGTCATTGACTGCAGGAAAGGGCTACAAAGCTTCTGCTCCACCAGCCTATATAGCTCAGGCAACAAGCTCCAGCTGCCAATTACATCTGTGGTAGTACAAGGCAACAAAGCAGGTCAGGCTCTGATGCTGCGGGACAGCAAGGATGAGAGGGTTCGCCAGCCAGAGATCAAGGAGGTATGACAGGCTCAGGAAGAAAGCAGGCATGTCAGAGGGAGGTATGAAAGGCTCAGGAAGAAAGCAGGCATGTCAGAGGGAGGTATGAAAAGCTGAGGAAGAAAGCAGGCATGTCAGAGGGAGGTCTGAAAGGCTGAGGAAGAAAGCAGGCATGTCAGAGGGAGGTATGAAAGGCTGAGGAAGAAAGCAGGCATGTCAGAGGGAGGTATGAAAGGCTGAAGAAGAAAGCAGGCATGTCAGAGGGAGGTATGAAAGGCTGAGGAAGAAAACAGGTATGTCAGGGGGTGGTATGAAAGGCTGAGGAAGAAACCAGGCATGTCAGAAGGAGGTATGAAAGGCTGAGGAAGAAAACAGGTATGTCAGGGGGTGGTATGAAAGGATAAGGACTTAACTAGGCATGTCAGGGGGAGGTATGAAAGGCTGAGGACTAAACCAGGCATGTCAGAGGGAGGTATGAAAAGCTGAGGAATAAAGCAGGCATGTCAGAAGGAGGTATGAAAGGCTGAGGAAGAAAACAGGCATGTCAGAAGGAGGTATGAAAGGATGAGGACTAAACCAGGCATGTCATGGGGAGGTATGAAAGGCTGAGGAAGAAAGAAGGCATGTCAGAGGGAGGTATGAAAGGTTGAGGAAGAATGCAAAACATTTCTGTAGCATTGAAGGTCTCCAAGAAGACATTGGCCTCCATCATTCTTAAATGGAAGAAGTTTGGAACCACAAAGACTCTTTCTGGAGCTGGCCGCCTGGCCAAACTGAGCAACTGGGAGAGAAGGGCCTTGGTGAGGGAGGTGACCAAGAACCCGGTGGTCATTCTGACAGAGCTCCAGAGTTCTTCTGTGGAGATGGGAGAACCTTCCAGAAGGACAACCATCCCTGCAGACGGAAGCCACTCCTCAGTAAAAGGCACATGATAGCCCGCTTGGAAGAAGGAGTAGCGATTACAGTGTCGTCCGGCTCATAGAAGGCACAGGGTGGCGAGTACCTGTCAGGTGAGCCGACAGCGATGTATTTTAGATATTATAGTTCCTCGCAGTCAACATTTGCTAAAGATAGTCCTCTATCCAGCGCTTTTGGAATTTTCCAGGCTGCCTGAATGTCTAGGTTTTGTTAAGATTACTTTTAGCAAGCTGGGCAGAGTGAAGAGACTATAAATGTTGATCCATTATCATTTCAACACAATTTCGATTTGGTTTGAGTCATTTCACTGTCGTTTGAGATAAAAATAATAAAAATAATCAGAAGAATGAAATGAATTATTCTGGGCCGGATTGAATGGGATCGCGGGCCCATATCCAATCGATACTAGCCTAAACTAGACCTAGGAAAAACAAGATTACAGTAGTTGCCTAAAGAATGACTGTGACCTAAAGGGGTGATGTTGATGTCACCAGGAATTATGAAGTTCACACTGTACTCTATATCTGCGTTGTGCTCCTCAAACAAAGTCTGATGTAGAGTTTATACTAATTCTTATTTACATATGATTTGGTTTTCCTCTACCTCAACAGGCACTATTATTGTCACTATATATGACAGTTAGGATATCTCCTTAGTAGGGTTGCAATAGTCCATGAATTTACAATAAATTACATGGTTTTCCCAAAATCCTGGTTGGAGGTTTCCCTGTGTCAGGAAGGAATAAGCAGGAATCCTGAATCCTCAAACCATGATTTTTGGATAACCAGGGAATTTATTGAAAGTTACTGGAATTTTGCAACACTACTCATTAGGTACCCAGCGGTGTATCACATTCCCACCATAGTAAGTCTCAATGCATTGAAGTATGCATGTCACTGTGTATTTATTCCTTCTGTCACTATGTCTATTTTTGATGTTTAACTCTGCATTGTTGGAAAAGGACCCATAAGTAAGCATTTCACTGTTAGTCTACACCTGTTGTTCACGAAGCATGTGACAAATAAAATATGATTAGATGTTGACGAAGCCTCCTCTGTCTCTACCTTCAACTGCCATGTTGTGGCGCCAATACTCTTCCTCTAAAGTGGGATTTCTTATGGATAGTGGAATGGTCCATCTAAACTGTTCACCGGTCTTCCTCATTAATGTGCAGATAGGTAGAGATGTTTATAAAAACACTTTTAGCATATTCACTTTCGCTTATAGATTGTATGTCTAATTTCAAGAATTCAAGGTTCATTTGTTTCATAAGGTTCATTTAGGGGTACATTCTTAGAGAACTGCTAAACATTTTGCCCACAATCATATGGAAAAAAGTGACAGTTCAATAAAAAGTGTTTCTTTATTATTAATGGGTGGTCCCGGGTTCAATCCCCGGGACCACTCATACGTAAAAATGTATGCACACATGACTGTAAGTCGCTTTGGATAAAAGCGTCTGCTAAATGGCAAATTATATTTTATAGGGCTACATTCTTGGAGAACTACTATACATTTTGCCAAAAAAAGTGACAGTTCAATAAAAAGTGTTTCTTTATTATTAAAAACAATGAGTTCAGCCTTTGAGCCTTCATTAGGGCCATGCACCTTGGTTGGACTGCAAATAGCAACAAACTGTATACTTCTATTTTGCATACTTTTATTTTGCATGTCGGTTAGAGTCAAAGTAAGTGAACACATCTCAGTGAGCTGTTGTGTGCGAACCATCCCTCATGTTTGGCATCAGCGGAGGGTTCTCAGGATATACACTGACTGGTAACAGTGAGTGAAGGGCTGACATGGCTCGTCTGCCCTTTTTTATGTGCACATGATCTGGCTCCTCTTAGCTGCCCAGGTGACGGTGAGCCAGCTGAACCTGGTGTCCCACAGTGTGGTGGCTGCTCCCTACCAGTGGGAGTACCCCTAAGTGCTCAGTATCATCCCCTCCCTCTTCAGCTTCATGGCCCTGCCCAAAAACAACATCAGCTACCTGGTGATCTCCATGATCAGTGCTGGGTTCTTCTGCATAGCGCCGCTCATCTACGGGGGTGTGGAGATGTTCCCGGTGGTGAATCCAATGTTTTTAGATTTGTGGGTGAAGTAGTGAAGGACTGTACACTTCAGGAGGAAGGAGATATTACTGGGACGTACCCATGACTAGGTCAGGGCATGATGTGGCCTTAATGAGAGGAGCCTTCCTGAACTGTAAAGGAACAGGGAAAGGGTTAAGAGAAGGGAAGAGCAGTGGTCAGATTGAGTCCATATGGTTGTGTGCTGGTGTCAATGCACATGTTCATGTTGACAGTACTCAACAATTCAATTGTTTCTAAATGACATGTACATTGATAAATAACAATAAAATGGGTATGCTGCGGCAGCTTTGCATCTATTGTCTATTTCATTAATTACATTAATTAATCACAACAATGTAAAGGCACCATTTGTCATCTCTGCAGTTGGGTTCATCTTTCCTATTAACATGGTTCCTTTAGGAACAACTGCCTTTCATTGGAACTGTTTACTCTCAGTATACGATGAGCTTTGTGTTACATGCACCTCAGCATAGTACCCATGCTCTAGAACAGCCTTTCCCATTTTGGTTTTTGTTCTAGCACTACATAGCTGATTCAAATAACCAAACCTTGACGATGAGTTGGTTGTTTGAATTAACTGTGTAGTGCTAGTGCAAAAACCAAAACATGCACCCAGGGAGGCCCCAGGACCGAGTTTGGGAAACCTTGTTCTAGAGAAGTCTACCCTCTAGTGCCCTCAAATTCTAATCCAGACCTCCAAGCCAGTTCCATTGCTTTAGAAAAAAAAATATTCCCCTCTAATCAGGAAATCTAATTACACCTGCTCTAGTGGAAAAAAGTTGTTCTGTTTACCAAAACATGTACTGTTCCTTCCCAGCTGCAACCAATAATATTTTGCATAGAGAAGGGTAGTGCTATTGGTTGGCTGGTCCTCACAGTATCCATCCATGTGTATTCTCTTTGTTCATCCAGTCATATCTGATCTATTTTCAAAGAATTTGTGTCATTGTCTTTACTGATCCTGTTGACAACATAGGTTGTACCTACTTTCCCCTTAATTTCAATAGTAAATGATTAACTGGAACCTGCACGTCACTGCAGTCTCTGTAACAGGTGAAGAACAGAGCAGTATAAGACCAACAGACGTCCTAATAATGTGCAGTCTGCTTACACTGCATGCCTGGAAACAGCAGAGATGAAGGAGCTATGGATTATGGCTGTCTTTGCTACAGGTAAGACTATATTTGATTTATTCAGGGTGATTTAAGATGTTCAGATGTACACTGAGTGTACAAAACATTAAGAACACCTGCTCTTTCCATGACATACAGTGCTTTCGGAAAGTATTCAGACCCCTTACGTTTTTCCACATTTTGTTACATTACAGCCTTATTCTAAAATCAATTAAATTGTTTTTGTTCTTCATCAATATACACACAATACCACATAATGACAAAGCAAAAACAGGTTTTTAGACATTTTTGTTGATTAATAAAAAATAAAAAACTGAAATATTATTTTTACATAAGTATTCAGACCCTTTACTCAGTACTACAAGCTTGGCACACCTGTATTTGGGGAGTTATTCCATTATTCTCTGCAGATCCTCACAAGTTCTGTCAATTTGAAAGGGGAGCATTTCTGTACAGCTATTTTCAGGTCTCTCCAGAGATGTTCGATCGGGCTCAGTCCGGGCTCTGGCTGGGCCACTCAAGGATATTCAGAGACTTGTCCCAAAGCAACTCCTGCATTGTCTTGACGTGTGCTTAGGGTCGTTATCTGCTTGTAAGGTGAACCTTCACCCCAGTCTGAGGTCCTGAATGCTCTGGAGCAAGTTATCATCAAGGATCTCTCTGTACTTTGCTCCGTTCATCTTTGCCTCGATCCTGACTAGTCTCCCTGCCGCTGAAAAACTCACTATTAGGAAGGTGTTCCTAATGTTTGGTAAACTCAGTGTTGATGCTGTTGTTATGTTTTCTCGTATGATTGAGAATTGTCTAGGAAAATTGCTTTCACTTCAGATGTGCAAAAATGTATGACGCATTTAACTTATCAATTGAGTATTACCAATTTATGACTTTACCGTTTTTACAGTTTGGTTTATGAATTTTAAAGTTTGGTTTATAGACAATGATTGACTGATGTTTTGTCTGTTTGCTGAGAGGGATACAATAACATCAATAAAGACATTGTTTCAGAGTTTATTTTTATCCAAACACTATTTAGATTTACTGTTAAGCTGTTTACATACTGTGAATAGACTACTGTCAGGTCTCAGATACAGTTGATAACAGAGTAGCTTTTGCTATCAAATGTCTACCGTTTATTGGCAGTGATAAAGACTTCTTTCTCTCATAAAGTACAGTAGAAAACATTTCTACACTGGTGCAGAAACACAATGAAACTGGAACAACATGGATCATCTGCTATGCTTATAGCAATTGACACTATGTACCCTTGTTTATGTGGTTTACTGAGGTAAATATTTTTTGGGGGGCAGTCTCTTTGCTACACAGGGATCTCACCACATCCTCTGCCGTTCCAACCATCAATGAAAAACTTGAACCAGCTACTGCTGCCCCTACCTCTACCCCTATCACCAGTACCACTCTCCCCACCACCTCTACCCCTACCCCCCCCACCACCTCTCCCACCACCACTTCTCCCACCACCTCCTCTCCCACCACCACCTCTCCCACCACCACCTCTCCCACCACCACCTCTCCCACCACCTCTCCCACCACCACCACCACCACCTCTCCCACCACCACCTCTCCCACCACAACCCCTCCTCTGGTCTGTATCAATGGTGGTGAGCTGGAGAGTGGAGATGATGAGTGCTGTATCTGTCCTGATGAGTGGATTGGAGAGACCTGTTCAGAGGGTAAATCCACACACTTACACTATACCTAACCCTGGATCTCACATTCACAGTACACACCACTACACTACTATACCTAACCCTGGATCTCACATTCACAGTACAGACCACTACACTACTCTTAACCCTGGATCTCACATTCAGAGTCCACAACACTAGTCCTTGGATCTCACATTCAGAATGGATATTTCATGTTTAGTCATACATTTGGTCCATGTTGAAATGTATTTTACTTCGATAGAGAATTTCTGCATTTCAACCTTCAAGGATGGATTCTCCTTCCCAGATACAGTGGTAGGCTGGTCTGCTTATTCAGAAGAGGAGTGTGGTGAGGAGACAACCAGTGGTATGTTACTTTTATTCACCTAAACTGACAAAATGTATTATTCTGTTACAGTCCTAATTAATGTTGTATAAGGTAACACAAAATCTTGAATATCTTTTTATATTGGTTCCTCCAGCCGGATCACCAGCAGCCTTAGCAGAATGTTCGAATGACATTGGATCTCCGATGTTTGGTATTCCTGTGGAGTTGGACTGTGAATTGACCCTCAGTGACATTCAAGGAAATGTAAGTCAATATTATTTTTATTTATGATCCTGATTTATGACAAGTCTCAATTTTGCGTTCTTCTTTCTTTGGGTCAGTTACAGTTATCATTATGAGGAGTCGATCTTACAGTTTGAAGATCAGTATCAGGTGAATGCACCAATTTGTAAGTCGCTCTGGATAAGAGCGTCTGCTAAATGACGTAAATGTAAATGTAAGTATCAACTGGCTTTTACCTTCAGCTCATGTATTCTGTTCCTTTATTCTGCTTAACAGTTGATGAGGAACATTCTTTTTTTATTTATTGTGTTTTACATTACATTTAGCAGACACTCTTATCCAGAGTGACTTACAGTAGTGAGTGTATACATTTTCATACTGGTCCCCCGTGGGAATCGAACCCACAACCCTGGCGTTGCAATTGCCTTGCTCTACCAACTGAGCCACGTAGTTAGTATTGTCAATTTTAATATCCAAATGTACTCACAGTTCAACATGTTCCTGCCACTTATACAAAAACAATACAATACTACACTAAATAAAAATTATATATATAATTCTCTCTCCCTATTCAGATCTCCAGCAGTTCAGGTGATTTAGCACAGCTAGCCTTCAGTACTCAGATCCTGACCTCCCAACCAGAGCGGCTATCAGCTGACAGCATCACCACAGCAGCTCAGATAGCTAACACTCTGCTTCAGTCTGTAAATATCACAGAGGTATAACATGTTTTCAAATCAAGTTGTGACTATGACATGTTCTGGAGATAAACGTGAGGTTGTTACTGCAGTGATTTGAACACTTGAGGGTCATTCCCTAGTTTTGATCATGTTGCAGGACATCGCAGTGGCAGCTGTAACTACCATCAGCCAGCTGCTGAATGCCAGTGAGGAGACTACACAGGAGAGAGTCGCTGTCCAGAGGTGTGTGTGTGTGTGTGTCTCTGCTCATGTTTGAGTTTATATGTGTACGTGTGTCTCTGTGCGTGTCTGCATGGGTGCATGTAAACTGATGTTTTTCTGTGTTTCTCTCCCAGACTCACAGAGACCCTGGAGAAGTTTTCCCTGGACCAGCAGAATAATGTGTCCTTGGTGGTTCAGCCCAACCTGGTAGTCCAGTCTGTCCAAGTACCAAGTGACACAGTAGGGATCCAGTTTAGTGCTCTGACTGGTGGGTGGGACTGCTAGTGAACCTACAGTGTGTTTTTTAAAGTGATAGTTTATATCTGTGTTGACAGACTGGTTAAACTTTTTAAAATCTTATTTTTCATATGTTTCTTCTCTGCTGTTGGTCAATAAGGTTTGGTATGGATTTGATTTGTTGTACTACAGACAAGTACAGAACAGTGGAGGCTGCTGAGGGGAGGACGGCTCATAATAATGGTTGGAACGGAGCGAATGGAATGGCATAAAACACATGGAAACCATGGAAACCATGTGTTTGATGTATTTGATACCATTCCACTGATTCCGCTCCAGCCGTTACCATGAACCCGTCCTCCCCAATTAAGGTGCCACCAACCTCCTGTGGTGCATAAGGAACACTATATTGTTCAGCTTAAAATGTCTAAATCAAATTAATCTCGTTCTCCAGGAATATCTGGTCATTTTGTGGCCAACAGAATTAATCTCAACACCAATACCTCTGAACTGAAAGCTATCAAAGGAGGTGCTACCGATGTCCAGATTGTTATCAAATTCCCACCAGGTGAGCCAATGTTGGTATAATTACAAACATAGTGTATAAACTCAAGCTTCAATTTCCTTATACAGCTTTCACCGAGAGCGTTTAACTGCTCTTTGTGTATATGAAGTCCTGATATGAACAACGATCTCTCTCTCTCTCTCCCCACCTCTCTCTCTCTCTTTCTCCCTCTCTCTCCCCTCTTTCTCCTTCACTCCACTCAGTTTTACATAATAAAAACACAAACCACTCCATTCATTTTGTACTCTACCAAAACGACCGGTTCTTCAGGTCCAGGGCATTCACAGCTTCTTTAGGGACCAGCAGAAGGGTCATCTCTGCTAACCTTGGACAAGTGTCTGGGCTGCATGTTGAGATGCTCTTCAAGCCCAGAGTAAGATTTCTATTGGAATCAGTAAACGCATATTGGTCAAAATTCTCTGGGAAATGTAATGGGAAGTTTTCCATTATCTACAGAGCATTCGGAAAGTATTCAGACCCATTCACTTTTTCCACATTTTGTTACGTTTCAGCCTTATTCTAAAATTGATTACATTGTTTTTTTCCCTCATCAATCTACACACAATACCCCATAATGACAAAGAAAAACAGGTTTTTAGAAATGTTTGTAAATGTATTAAAAATAAAATACTGAAATATCACATTTACATAAGTATTCAGACCCTGTACTCAGTATTTTGTTGAAGCACCTTTGGCAGCGATTACAGCCTTGAGAATGCTTGGGCATGACGCTGCAAGCTTGGCACTCCTGTATTTGGGGAGTTTCTCCCATTCTTCTCTGCAAATCCTCTTAGGTTGGATGGGGAGCGTCGCTGCACAGCTATTTTCAGGTCTCTCCAGAGATGTTCGATCGGGTTCAAGTCCGGGCTCTGGCTGGGCCACTCAAGAACATCCAGAGACTTGTCCGGTAGCCACTCCTGCATTGTCTTGGCTGAGTGCTTAGGGTCGTTGTCCTGTTGGAAGGTGAACCTTCGCCCCAGTCTGAGGAACTGAGCGCTCTGGAGCAGGTTTTCATCAAGGATCTCGCTGAACTTTGCTCAATTCAACTTTCCCTCGATCCTGACAAGTCACCCAGTCCCTGCCGCTGAAAAACATCACCACACTATGATGCTGCCACCACCATGCTTCACCGTACGGATGGTGCCAGGTTTCCTAAAGATGTGACGCCTGGCATTCAGGCCAAAGGGTTCAATCTTGGTTTCATCAGACCAGAGAATCTTGTTTCTCATGGTCTTAGAGTCCTTTAGGAGTGGCTTCCATCTGGCCACTCTTCCATAAAGGTCAGATTGGTGGAGTGCTGCAGAGATGGTTGTCCTTCTGGAAGGTTCTCCCATCTCCACAGAGGAACTCTTGCGCTCCCTGACCAAGGCCCTTCTCCCCCGATTGCTCAGTTTTGCCTTGTGGCCAGCTCTAGGAAGAGTCTCTGTGGTTCCAAACTTCTTCCATTTAAGAATGATGGAGGCCACTGTGTTCTTGAGGAATTTCAATGCTGCATAAATTTTTTGATACCCTTCCCCAGATATGTGCCTCGGCACAATCCTGTCTCGGAGCTCTACGGACAATTCCTTCGACCTCATGGCTTGGTTTTAGCTCTGACATGCACTGTCAACTGTGGGACCTCATATAGACAGGTGTGTGCCTTTCCAAATAATGTCTAATCAATAGAATTTAACACAGGTGGATCCAATCAAGTTGTAAAACATCTCAAGGATGATCAATGGAAACAGGATGCACCTGAGTTCAATTTCGAGTATCATAGCAAAGGGTCTAAATACTTATGTAAATAAGGTATTTCTGTTTTTTTTCTAAAAACCTGTTTTCGCTTTGTCATTATGGGGTATTGTGTGTAGATTGCTGAGGAAGAAGGCTGTAACGTAACAAAATGTGGAAAAAGTCAATAGGTCTGAATACTTTTCGAATGCACTGTAGGTCACATGTCAAACTCATTCCACGGAGTACGTGATTGAAAGTTAAGGTCACTGATTAGTATGAAACTCCCCTCATCTGATTGTCTAGGTCTTAATTGACAGGAAAAACAAAAACCAGCAGACAATAGGCCCTCCATGGAATGAGTTTCACACCCCTGATCTAAGTTATCCATTGACACTTATCCGCCACAATGAACAAGGAAGCATATTTTGGCTAGTGAACAAGGAAGAATATGTTGTCTTGTGTATAATATGATCTATCATAATTGAAAATTCTTCTTTCCCACATTTTTTTAATGAGGAATCTTGTCGTCTAGTTGTGAATGCATGTCTTTTGCTGAAGGATTTACAGTGAGTTTGTTGCTGTTCTCACTTCTCAGGCTGTTCCCAACGCCTCCCTCTATGACTTTGCCTGCGTGTCGTGGAACTACACGTTGAAAGACTGGAGCACCTATGGCTGCTCCAAAGTCAACAACTCAGCAGACGGCCTGCGATGTTTCTGTAATCACACCACTAACTTCGCTGTGCTTATGGTGAGTAGCTAGCTGCCTTCATCTTCCTTTAACTGACCACAATTTGACCTATGGAAGGGGTTCCAAACGTTATTGGCCCACAACCCTGTTTTGATATCTGAAAATTATCTTGACCCCAACCATGTACATTTTCTTTTGTAATTAAGAGCCAATGTTTACTTTTTTATATGGGGTTATAACAGTCAATTGCAAAACATTCAGTATTTCTGATTGTCTTCTCAACTCCCCATCACATATTTTTAATGTGGGGCTATGACAGTCAATAGCAAAGTGGTCTGACATAATGTCTCTTATCTCAACACCACTAATGAGATGATGAGATCAGAGACCTGATGCATGTCGCGTCAGAGCTTCTCAAAGTCAGGGGGTGTGGATGACAGTGTGCACCTCATCTCCGGTTTCACTTCCAACCTGGATCGATATTTGGTTTTAACGCAGACAAGTGCACTAAATAAAGCCTCACACAGATATTAGCTGTCAAAGGGTACCATGAGTTTTAATGATCAGAAGGAGATGGCAGGGTATTGCCTTTGAGTCAGGAACCAAAATGGGTTATCTGCAGCATTCGGTCATATGACGGCTCGATCAGATTTCAATTTCACTTACCGGTATGTCAACTGAGGCAGGATAACAGTCAAACAGATTTCTCTCCAATAAGAAATCTTTCCTCTGAATCAACTGATTCGGTCACTCATCTGTAGAATGTTTTTGTATTTCCCCTGCATGCTTGCGTTCAGTTTGTTCAGTTTCCCATTTTATTTTCATTACATACAGAAAGTCAATAAAGTCTTTGTTTTTTTGCCCACCGTTCGTTCACATGGAATCTGTTTTTCCTCAATATCGCCACGCAGCGCATCCTCTGTACAGTTTCATGCTCGAGAATCGTGAGACAGAACAATATGTCCTCGTGAATAGAATCCCGGCCCTCACAACGTCCATTTGGAAAGCTGGGGAGTTTTTGAGTGGTTCAGTAGGTTTCCTATTGGTTGCTAACTATAGCATAAATTCTTCATTTTACAGTGTTATCTGACAAAGGTATTGATTAGTGTTTCTGTGCCTCGGCCTCCCCACACCTTGTTTTCACCATATCTATTGTGGCGGTAATATCTCTGAAATAGTGTGTGGTTTCATTCTGTAGTGGGCCTAGCCATTCACCTGGGAATAGGGTGACCACATGTCCCAGATTGTGCGGGACAGTCCCACATTTTGGCCCTTTGTCCCGCAACTAAACAATCATGTCCCGCATTTTTATCAACAAATTCAAACACCACCAATTTAGAAAAAACTATGATTTGTCCAGTATTTCAGTCAGACATTCCAACCTGTCTCTTGCAGTCACATTGTGCTTATGAAAAAATGTACCTGCATATCATAAGGATGTGGTAGCCACGGTGATGTTAAACACTTCTCCAATCGTTGTCGAGATCTGATATTCTTTGCAGCAGAAGAGGAGACATAGGCCAATGTCATAGGCCTATCGTCAACAAATATTTCTCAAATCCTTTCAGGCTAAATTCCTGCTAAACTTGGAGAGGACAGTTCATTTCCACCTTGTTACTCTCAGATTGTATAAAACATCTAATTGATTGGCTGCAAGTTCTACAATATCTCATAGTTAGGCCTCCTAACTACTTACAAAGAGCTAGAAAAGTAGGTAAATAGCCACATTAGACTGAAAGATATAATCATAGCAGTGGGAAGTAGGGTGCTGCAGCACCTCCTGAAAAATCACAATGACAAAATAATAATAATACATATTTTCACTAAAGTAGTGCATTGGGCCTTTACTAGTCCTGTATTAACAGACCGATATAACCGTTTTTATAGTGCGGGCAAAAAAATTTAACATGAAGAATTATCATTCACAATTGACAGCGATGATACATTGGCCTATTTCTAAATTAGGTATAGGTTAGGTTACACTGTCCCACAAAATCATCCTGTTGTCCCGCATTTGTGTATTTTAAATGTGGTCATCTTAAGTGGGAATGATTCTAGTGCAGCTGTCAAGTGAGGCCTTTTCCTACGATCTAAGGGCGCTCTCTTGTTGAATTTTATGTTTTAGATTTGAATCATTTTCATTTCAATTTTTAAGGTTAACCACATTACAATGATTTTGAGATACAAAGACAATATCATAATATTTTATACAAATTATTATTATTATTATTATTATTTTAATTTTTTGCAGGATTTTGGAAATTCTCCTGCTATCCCATTTTCATATCAGGCGAACCCACATCAGGTCGCGACCCCTAGTGTGGGAACCGCTGACCTATGGTTTACCACAGCATATCCAGACACATGAGGGAGATGACTTTATACAGTATGACTGTGACAAACTTAGTGTTGAAAAATATTTTTTTACTTTCTTTCTACAGTCGTTCAGGAATGATTTTAAATACGCTGAAGCTCTAAACTGGATCACCAGATTGGGATGCTCCATGTCCATCATAGGGTTGAGTTTAACAATAACATTCCAGATCGCAACCAGGTAAGATCCTACAGGGTTCCAGAACCAATTCAACATATACAATAACATTCGATATTGTGACCCGGTAAGATCCTACAGGGTTCCAGAACCAATTCAAAATATAGAATAACATTCCAGATCGCAACCAGGTAAGATCCTACAGGGTTCCAGAACCAATTCAACATATACAATAACATTCCAGATCGTGACCCGGTAAGATCTTACAGGGTTCCAGAACCAATTCAAAATATTGGGTGCATCTCAATAGTGTAAAGAAGCCCTTTGTCTGATCTAACATGACTTGATAGGTGAAACCATTATGAAACCCACTATTAATGACCCAACACATCCATAGCTACGCATCTAACTTCCCTAACATAGTGTTGTCTATCACCTATCCCCAGGAAATCACGCAAAACCAACCCAACGGTCCTCTTAGTGAGCGTCTGCATGTGTCTCCTGATCTTCACCCTTCCTCTTCGTGTTGGGAGTGGACAACCCTCATAAACAGCTGGAGAAACCTGAAATACAGGAGGACAACATTCTCCCCCCGTCCGACACACATACAGAGCGGGACAGAGGCCCCTGTACTGCAGTCGCAGTCCTGCTGCAGTACTTCCTCTTGGGGACGTTCACCTGGAACACGCTGTACGCCACACATGTCTTCCTGATGATCAGAAACAGCCTGGCCACCAACCCGTCACACTTCACAGCCTGTACTGTGGCCATCGGATGGGGTAGGACAGCATGGGAACAAAATAAAGTATTTAGTTGTTTCAGAAGTTTTGGCTGACATTTTCCCTGGGCTCCTTGAACCAAAACGAATGCTAGGATATATTTTCAGGCTCTAATAAGCCTAAAATAGAACTTCAAAGCAACTTGTATAGTGATGTTCTGTCTTTAGAGGATGTATGTGTAGTATATAATCTGTATATGTCTGCATGCTAATCTACCAGGAATTAACAACAACATTCTCTGTCCTTTAGGACTGCCTGCGGTTGTGGTGGCCCTCACCTTAGGAATTAGTTACAGAGTGGATAATCCACTGGGTTACAGGCAGGAGGAATTGTGAGTCAATACCGTATTTTACTATACTATACTTTACTATACTGTACTGTACTTGAAAGAGAGCGACCCGGCTCTACGTATTTCCTGGTTTGTGAACCACTGCATGGGCAGAGTGTGGGGTGCATGGGGACAGTCTGATTGGCTGAAGCCCCGAGCTGGAGGTGATGGATATCTCTCACGTGAACTGTACTGTATTGTACTATACTGTACTGTACTACCAATATCAATGTGGGGCAATTGCTGTTTAAAATGTTATAACTCATACTGTAAAAGGTTTTCCCTATCAATTTTCGTATTGTATGCTTTTAACGATGGCAACAAGCAATTTAAAAAGTTGTAAAAAACTAAAAGAATGATCCATTGTATTGAAAGGTTTCTTGTTTACTTATGCCACCCACCATGTTTACTTAATACCATGTTTTCAAATCACTGGCGTCCTGTTTTGTCTGTCACAAAGTCCCACTCTCTATCTCATTCATTTGACCTCTCAGTTGCTGGCTTGCTGCCCTCGATCCAAAGGGGAACTTTGACTTCAAGCTGCCAATGTTTTGGGGGTTCCTGATCCCTGTGGCGTTCATGCTTATCTTCAACATGGTGGTGTTGGTGTATTTTGCAGTTACAACATCCAAGACCCACCCACATATAACCAGGTAACATTAATGGGGGCTTTTGGGGGGCACAAAGTAGAACGTTGTAGTCATTAAGATCAGTCTTGATTTAAATGCCTACTAACGAGCTTGTTAATTTTGTATTGTCTTTCAATTAAAACTTTTTATAAATAAAATGCATACTTTTTTAAATTATTAATTCAGTCATTAGTAAGCAAATCATACAATTTGATGAGCACCATTCTCTAACCTACTGAGCCATTGGAAGCATAATGTTCTTACAGTGGGGGAAAAAAGTATTTAGTCAGCCACCAATTGTACAAGTTCTCCCACTTAAAAAGATGAGAGAGGCCTGTAATTTTCATCATAGGTACACGTCAACTATGACAGACAAATGGAGAAAAAAAAATCCAGAAGATCACATTGTAGGATTTTTTAATGAATTTATTTGCAAATTATGGTGGAAAATAAGTATTTGGTCACCTACAAACAAGCAAGATTTCTGGCTCTCACAGACCTGTAACTTCTTCTTTAAGAGGCTCCTCTGTCCTCCACTCGTCACCTGTATTAATGGCACCTGTTTGAACTTGTTATCAGTACAAAAGACACCTGTCCACAACCTCAAACAGTCACACTCCAAACTCCACTATGGCCAAGACCAAAGAGCTGTCAAAGGATACCAGAAACAAAATTGTAGACCTGCACCAGGCTGGGAAGACTGAATCTGCAATAGGTAAGCAGCTTGGTTTGAAGAAATCAACTGTGGGAGCAATTATTAGGAAATGGAAGACATACAAGACCACTGATAATCTCCCTCGATCTGGGGCTCCACGCAAGATCTCACCCCGTGGGGTCAAAATGATCACAAGAACGGTGAGCAAAAATCCCAGAACCACACGGGGGGACCTAGTGAATGACCCTCAGAGAGCTGGGACCAAAGTAACAAAGCCTACCATCAGTAACACACTACGCCGCCAGGGACTCAAATCCTGCAGTGCCAGACATGTCCCCCTGCTTAAGCCAGTACATGTCCATGCCCGTCTGAAGTTTGCTAGAGTGCATTTGGATGATCCAGAAGAGGATTGGGAGAATGTCATATGGTCAGATGAAACAAAAATATAACTTTTTGGTAAAAACTCAACTCGTCGTGTTTGGAGGACAAAGAATGCTGAGTTGCATCCAAAGAACACCATACCTACTGTGAAACATGGGGGTGGAAACATCATGCTTTGGGGCTGTTTTTCTGCAAAGGGACCAGGACGACTGATCCATGTAAAGGAAAGAATGAATGGGGCCATGTATCGTGAGATTTTGAGTGAAAACCTCCTTCCATCAGCAAGGGCATTGAAGATGAAACGTGGCTGGGTCTTTCAGCATGACAATGATCCCAAACACACCGCCCGGGCAACGAAGGAGTGGCTTCGTAAGAAGCATTTCAAGGTCCTGGAGTGGCCTAGCCAGTCTCCAGATCTCAACCCCATAGAAAATCTTTGGAGGGAGTTGAAAGTCCGTGTTGCCCAGCGACAGCCCCAAAACATCACTGCTCTAGAGGAGATCTACATGGAGGAATGGGCCAAAATACCAGCAACAGTGTGTGAAAACCTTGTGAAGACTTACAGAAAACGTTTGACCTGTGTCATTGCCAACAAAGGGTATATAACAAAGTATTGAGAAACTTTTGTTATTGACTAAATACTTATTTTCCACCATAATTTGCAAATAAATTCATTAAAAATCCTACAATGTGATTTTCTGAAAAAAAAAATCTAATTTTGTCTGTCATAGTTGACGTGTACCTATGATGAAAATTACAGGCCTCTCTCATCTTTTTAAGTGGGAGAACTTGCACAATTGGTGGCTGACTAAATACTTTTTTCCCCCACTGTATATCACAGCATTACAGCAGTCTATGACCGCAATCTAAGCATGTTGGTTATATTTCCCAGTACAAGACACACATCGATGAAGAAGAAGTTTCTCAGTAGCTTTTCTCTGGCTGTGGTGCTCAGTCTCTCCTGGATCCTGGGCTATCTGTTGCTCATTACACAGAACCAGACCACCATGTACACCATACTCAACATCTCCTTCTGTGTACTCACCACCACTCAGGTAGTAAATGTATGCACTCACTACTGTAAGTCGCTCTGGATAAGAGTCTGCTAAATGACTAAAATGTTAAATATAAAGACTAGTGTGCTATTGTACCACAGAATCCAGACATGATTGAAAACTAGACAGCTACTAAACATTAAAAAATTCTGCTGCTCTTTATGGAAACGCTACCTTTTGTTTGTCCTTTTGTGTTCCTGAAAATACTTGATAACATCTTTGTGTTTTTACTTTCGCTCCACAGGGCTTGCAGGTTTTCATTCTGTTCACAGCAAGAACAGCAATTGTCAAGAAAACGATGTCAAGTGCTTTGAAATCTGTCTCTAGCGCTGGGATCCCTCTTCACACCAAGAAGTACAGTCTATGGCGAGGCGAGCAAAGTGAAAAAGTAGAATCATACACACAGCAGGACACTGATCTGTCATTTCCACCTTGTTCCTCACAGACATCTAACTGATGGGCTGCAAGTTCAACCTCTGTTGTAAAATATCTCATATACCTCCACTATTTCCTATAATATACAGTATAATACACACCATTTTGTATCAATGTATTTTTACTGTGAATTCCCTCAGAAGTTGTGTTGTCCAAGGATTTTTTGCCTTTGCACATACTGTATGTGTTTTTTGAATTGTAACTGTTTTGAATAAAACTATGATTATTCTCTTTGAATCTAATGTTTGTTTCAGTATTGTTAGTGAGAAATAACACTATTTTACACAATATCTCAGAAAATAGCTTTAGACAGTGTAGCCTAGGGATGTCAAACTACATAATTTTCCCTGCGGGCCACGTTCGGTCTTTACCGAGGCTGCACTTAAAATGTATTAACCTTTTACTGCAGTGGGCTAAATCAGGCTCACATAGAGTGATTCTTGGTTGTCTTGGTAACAAATCTACCTTGAAACAAAAGTATACACCTCACACACATGGTTATGGGCTTAAAGAAAAGAAGACACCTGTACCATGTCAGATAACGAGTTGAAATGTATTCAAGTTTGAGTTTCCATCCCAATATTACACTTTATATACAATACAGAAGACTGAAATATAACAAAACTCTTTGACATAGAAACACCAGATTTTCATCCTTAAAAAAAGAAAAACGTATTAATTATGAAATTAATAATAACATGGCCCATGAGGCCAAAGAGGGCACTTTTGGTCATTACTGCAGGAAAGGGCTACAAAGCTTCTGCTCCATCAGCCTGTATAGCTCAGACAACAAGCTCCAGCTGCCAATTACATATGTGGTAGTACAAGGCAACAAAAGCACGTCAGGCTATGATGCTGCGGGACAGCAAGAATGAGAGGGTTCGCCAGGCAGAGATCGAGGAGGTATGAAAGGCTGAGGAAGAAAGCAGGCATGTCAGGGGGCGGTATGAAAGGCTGAGGAAGAAAGCAGGTATGTCAGGGGGCGGTATGAAAGGATGAGGAAGAAAGCAGGTATGTCAGAGGGAGGTATGAAAGGATGAGGAAGAAAGCAGGTATGTCAGGGGGCGGTATGAAAGGATGAGGAAGAAAGCAGGGATGTCAGAGGGAGGTATGAAAGACTGAGGAAGAAAGCAGGTATGTCAGGGGGCGGTATGAAAGGATGAGGACTAAACCAGGCATGTCAGGGGGAGGTATGAAAGGCTGAGGAAGAAACCAGGCATGTCAGAGCCGTGGCCATGAAAAAACAGGGCAGCTGTACATGCTGGGGGAGTGTGAGAGAGAGGGCACACACCTGCCTGCGGGACAGCAAGGATGAGAGGGTCGCCAGCCAGAGATCAAGGAGGTATGAAAGGGTGAGGAAGAAAGCAGGCATGTCAGAGGGTGTTCTGAAAGGTTGAGGAAGAATGCAAAACATTTCTGCAGCATTGAAGAACACAGTGGCCTCCATCATTTTTAAATGGAAGAAGTTTGGAACCACCAAGACTCTTTCTAGAGCTGGCCGCCCGGCCAAACTGAGCAATCGGGAGAGAAGGGCCTTGGTCAGGGAGGTGACCAAGAACCCGGTGGTCACTCTGACAGAGCTCCAGAGTTCCTCTGTGGAGATGGGAGAACCTTCCAGAAGGACAACCACTCCTCAGTAAAAGGCACCTGACAGCCCGCTTGGAGTTTGCCAAAAGGCACCTAAAGGACTCTCAGACCATGAGAAACAAGATTCTCTGGTCTGATGAAACCAAGATTGAACTCTTTGGCCTGAATGCCAAGCGTCACATCTGGAGGAAACCTGGCACCATCCCTACGGTGAAGCATGGTGGTGGCAGCATCATGCTGTGGGGATGTTTTTCAGTGGCAGGGACTGGGAGAATAGTGAGGATCGAGGGAAAGATGAACGGAGCAAAGTACAGAGAGATCCTTGATGTAAACCTGCTCCAGAGCGCTCAGGACCTCAGACTGGGGTGAAGGTTCACCTTCCAACAGGACAACGACCCTAAGCACACAGCCAAGACAACGCAGGAGTCTCTGAATGTCCTTGAGTGGCCCAGCCAGAGCCCGGAATTGAACCCGGTCGAACATCTCTGGAGAGACCTGAATATAGCTGTGCAGCGACGCTCCCCCTCCAACCTGACAGTGCTTGAGAGGATCTGCAGAGAAGAATGGTAGAAACTCCCCAAATACAGGCTTGTAGCGTCATACCCAATAAGACTCGAGGCTGTAATCGCTGCCAAAGGTGCTTCAAAAAAGTACTGAGTAAAGGGTCTGAATACTTATGTAAATGTCATATTTCCGTTTTTTCTAAAAACCTGTGTTTGCTTTGTCATTATGGGGTATTGTCTGTAGATTGATAAGGGGGGGAAAACAATTTAATCAATTTTAGAAAAAGGCTGTAACATAACAAAATGTGGAACAAGTCAACGGGTCAAAATCTATATCCACAGTAAAACGAGTCCTATATCGACATAACCTGAAAGGCCACTCAGCAAGGAAGAAGCCACTGCTCCAAAACCGACATAAAAAAGCCAGACTACGGTTTGCAACTGCACATAGGGACAAAGATCGTACTTTTTGGAGAAATGTCCTCTGGTCTGATGAAACAAAAATAGAACTTTTTGGCCATAATGACCATCATTATGTTTGGAGGAAAAAGGCAATGCTACCAAATACTAATTGAGTGTATGTAAACTTCTGACCCACTGGGAATGTGATGAAATAAATAAAAGCTGAAATAAATCATTCTCTCTACTAATCTGACATTTCACATTCTTAAAATAAAGTGGTGATCCTAACTTCCCTAAAACAGGGAATTTTTTCTAGGATTAAATGTCAGGAATTGTGAAAAACGGAGTTTAAATGCATTTGGCTAAGGTCTATGTAAACTTCCGACTTCAACTGTATATAGTCCTGTTTTTTTTTACTGTCTGTATAGTCTGTTTATTGTGGCAGCACCATTTCACCGATTTAAATTCCTGTACATGCAAATGTATTTGGCAAATAAAGGTGATTCCTTGAAGGAGGAAGAAGAAGTAGTGATTACACTGTCGTCCGGCTCATAGAAGGCACAGGGTGGCGAGTACCTGTCAGGTGAGCCGACAGCGATGTATTTTAGATATTATACTTCCTCGCAGTCAATATTTGCTAAAGATAGTCCTCTATCCAGCACTTTTGGAATCATCCAGGCTGCCTGACTGTCTAGGTTTTGTTTCGATTACTTTTAGCATGCTGGGCAGAGTGAAGAGACTATAAATATTGATCCGTTATCGTTTCAACACAGTTTCGATTTGGTTTGAGTCATTTCACTGTCGTTTGAGATAAAAAATAATCAGAAAATAAAATGAATTATTCTGGGCCGGATTGAATGGGATCGCGGGCTCATATCCAATCGATACTAGCCTAAACTAGACCTTGGAAAAACAAGATTACAGTAGATGTATTTCAATACATTTTGCCTAAAGAATGACTGTGGTATTATGTTATGGAGAGTTGATGTTGATGGTGATGTAGCTGTGACCTACATTTTTTTACATTTTAGTCAATTAGCAGACGCTCTTATCCAGAGTGACCTAAAGGGGTGATGTTGATGTCGCCAGGAATTATGATGCTCACACTGCACTGTATATGCGTTGTGCTCCTCAAACTAATTCTGATGTAGAGTTTATACAAATTCTTATTTACATATGATTTGGTTTTTCTCTACCTCAACAGGCAAGGATATTGTCATTATATATGACAGTTATATCTCCTTAGTAGGGTTGCAATATTCCATGAATTTACAATAACTTACATGGTTTTCCCAAAATCCTGGTTGGAGGTTTCCCTGTGTCAGGAAGGAATAAGCAGGAAGTCCTGAATCCTCAAACCAGGATTTTTGGAAAACCATGGAATTTATTGAAAGTTACTGGAATCCTAGCGAGCAAAACAGTGCACCTCTGTCTCTCTACGTGTAGGCCATCTATCTGACGCTGTCTGGTCCAAACGAGTATGACATTGTTGCCGCCCGTAGCATTGAAGGCAAGGGAAGCCAGCATGCATCTGGCCTCCCTTGACACATTTTTTAAATAAAACAATTAGCCAATCAGCGTTGAGCTAAACTGAGCGAGCTCAACTGTGAATGGTCCTGGCGCACCAAAAAAAAAGTGTCAAGGGAAGCCAGCTTGGATTTTGGCCTCACTCCTATTAAATCCCATTGAGAGAAAACCTAATTGACAGAAAAACTTGAATTGTTGTATCTGGTGTTGTTGTCCTCCGGTGGCTAGCTAGCAAAAATTGCCCCTTTCCTAAATTAGCCATGGATGGAGATAGGGATTTGGATTTACTTAATTCTCCATACTAGCCAATGATTATAATGGCGATTCTGATCCAACCATTAATACATACATTGTTGTGCCCCCCACCTGAGAGGATGGAAGTTCAATATGTAGCTAGATGTAGAAGGCTAATGTTAACTAGCTAACTATGAATGGAAGCCAGGTAGTCTAGGACAACAACAAATAAAAGCATGTACTGTATGACAGAGTGATAGACCGTTTCCTCAACATGAAAGAGAGGAGGATGGAATTGGCGTTTCTCTACAAGTAGGGTGAGTCAACATGTTTTCTACTTGCACAAACGCACACAGAAATCATAACCATTGACAGCCACATCGTATTTAGCTTACATTTATTGGACTCAATTGTTTTTGGTATCTTTTAGTTGTCACTGTATTTGACTAAGAAAAGGTGATTTGATGATGTTGAAATATTGAAGTTTCTTTGCGAGTTGTGGTAACTCTGTGGTCCGAAACATTAACTTGCTTGACCTTGTTGTAGGTCACGTAACTGTCTGTTACTGTACACGCAATATGATTTGTGGACTTCACAGGACAGAGCTAATTGGTTTTGTGATAAAACAAAGGTGTGGTTGAATTTATTCTGCCACTGTGTCTTCTTATTGTCTCGGCCTTTAGGCATATATGTCATGCTCGCAAGGCATATGAATTAATAGGTTATAGAGCAAACAACGCAATTATCACAACACATAGGTTGTAATATGGCTTTGGCTTCCACAGTGATTTTACCCACGCACCGCTACTGATAAGTAAGCACTGTTAGTCTACACCTGTTGTTTACGAAGCATGTGACAAATAAAATGTGATTTGATTTTGAAGCAGCAACCTCTGTCTCTACCTTCAACTGCCATGTGGTGGCGCCAATACTCTTCCTCTAAAGGGGGATTTCTTAT